GTTGGCAATTCAGCGGTTTGAATCCCTAGTGCTGCATAATGGGGTGAGTTCCAATACTTGTCCCAGCTTCTGCCAACCTAGCAGTTCGAAAGCACGTAAAAAATACAAGTAGAAAAATAGGGACCACTTTGGTGGGAAGGTAACAGTGTTCCATGTGCCTTTGGCATTTAGTCATGCTGGCCACATGATCACGGAGACATCTTCAGACAGCGCTGGCTCTTTGGCTTTGAAACAGAGAGGTGCCCCGACTAGAGTCGGGAATGACTAGCACATATGTGTGAGAGGAACCTTTACCTTTATAGCAATGATAGTGATCTATTGAAGATTGGAGTTGAAACATTAGTATTCAAAACTAGATGAAAAAGAAGTTATAAATGTTGGGAATATTTTAAAAATTGGCACAGAGATGGTGATAGTAAGAAGTATTAAAATATGGATGTGGTTTGTTTATAAAGTTGCAGTTAGATATTTTGAATGTTTATGTAAAAACTGCAGCTGCACTTGACATTTGGAAGAATGTTGTTATTTTTCTTTTCTACAAAGGAGAAAACAACATGAACAAATGCAAAAATAAAAGGATAATTAATTTGTTATATGTGCCTGAGAAGGGATGTAACAGAAATCTGACAAAAAGATCACAATGAACAAAATGTAGAAGAACAGTTTGACTTTAAGTCAGGCAAGGTGTAGACCAGATTTTTACTCTTAATGAGAAATGTTTGAATATAAGAAAATGTACTATATGTTTGCTATGATGGAACAGTGGTTAGAATGCAGTATTGCAGGTTAATTCAGCCTACTGCCAGCAGTTCAATCCTCACTGGCTCAAGATTGACTTCAACCTTCTGAGGTTGATAAAATGAGGACTCAGATTGTTGGGGGCAATATGCTGACTCTGTAAACTGCTTAGAGAGGGCTGTAAAGCACTGTAAAGTGTTATATAAGTCTAAGTACTATTGCTATTGCTATTTAGAGAAAGTATGCAATTGAGTAAATAGGTGTCAATTACATTTGGAGCAGTTGAATGTTGATTGCTGGATGTGGTTGGAATACTATACAATAGACATAAATCACACTTAAGAATAAATAATAACCCAACCGTTTAACATTGAGCAGCAATAGAAACAAGGACTTGTACCACCTCCTTGGAATACATTTAGGGGTAACTGAAAAGAGACACTTATCCTAACATTATAGATATATTGATTTTGCCTCTACTTTTCTTTGCAAGCAATGTCATACTGTTGGCTGTGGACTCCAATAATTAGCAAAGGAGCAAAGACTGCATGATGGTAAAAATTGAAACAATATTATTTTGTATACTTTGGTGGAATGTTTACTAAAGACATGAATAGAACATTTGGAAAAAAGGAAAAACGGGGGTGGGGAGAAGTGAACGGTATGTGATCTATTGCAAGGAACTAACGTTTATGTAGTAAAGCAAGTATGTGTAGTAAAACCAGAAGAAAAGGATCCAGGCAATGTATGAATATGTATGAATGAGTATGACCTACATATTTAATACAAAAGTAAATGACTACTATGAAAGAAGTTCTGTATTTGTACACAGAGAAAGAATCAGGACTGAACTGAAAAAGAATATATGTAGAAGATTAAGGAAGTAATGAATAAGTAGAGCTGACAAGAAAAGATGGAGACAATAAGAATTAAAAGCAATGTATGAATAAGGGTACCAAAGTGATGGAAGCAAGTATGGTTTGCAAAGACAGACAAGTATGGATAGCTACAGTGCAGGCTATTAACTAAATGTATTTAGAGTTGGTTTTCTTTTTTCTGCCTTTAATTTCCTTTGCATATAATTTCTTACTTTCCCCCACACACACATTGTGTAGTGTTACCCTCTCAAAAAGATACCTTAATGCTTTGTATCATCGATTAAGGCAGGGGTGTGAAACTGGCAGCCTGCGGGCCGGATGCATCACGTGCAGGCCACGCCCACCCAAACTCAGAAAAGGGGAAAAACGTCAGGATACGTCATGTGACAATAATGTAATGCTGCGAGTTTGACACCCATGCATTTAGGAGTGATAGACAGTAAGGCCTGTCTTGAACTGCTGCAGGGAAGGCAGCAAATAAAAGGAAAAGAATTAACAGGAGATAAAGTTCTACTGTTGAACTTTAAAAGACTTTTTAAAAGAAGGACCATATTCTTTTAATTATTCATTTAATTATCTTAGCATGTTTTTTCAGGCCATAAGCAAGGACATTAGGAAAGACTGTTGGAATGATAGTTTAAAAACCATGTTTTTTTAAAAAAATAACAAATGTAAGGCGTTAAAGAGGATTTTCCCTCCGAAGCTAGTAACTCTGATGTTTCATAAGGGAAACACTATATTACCCAGATTTTTCAAAACCAGTTCTGATCTCTTTTACATATCATAAAGATAAGGAATACTGCAATTATAATCAGTGAAACATTGTTAGAATTGAACATTTCTAACAATAAAGAATACAAAACTATTATTACTCTGCATATTAGCATATCTGATCATCAGAGGATTTTTCCCTCTCTTGGAAGATGTGTGTGTGTGCAAGCATGCATGTATTCACGTGCTTTGAGCCACTGCCTACACCACCAATTTCTTTGCTAGTTTTTTCAGAAGTGGTTCGCCCCTGACTCTAGGGCTGAGGGAGACTGACTGGCCCAATATCACCCAGCTGGCTTTGCACCTGAGACTAGAACTCATTGTTTCTCAGTTTCTATACTGGTGCCTTAATCACTACACCTAATCCTAATTACATCTGAACAAATGTTCTTGTCTTTCTGAAATTATGTCATGAGTTTTCCTATCCTGAAACAGTGGGATACAAAGGAGGAGGGGAGAGATGTTCATCATTTTTCTCTCTCACTGACAAAAAAAATATGTTTTAAGAATTTATCTCCCTATCTAAATGGGTCATTTCTAGTTACTTGCCTTCTCTTGCCAAATGTATGTTTATTTGCTTCTTTAGTGGCAACACCATTTATTTAAAACACATGGATAGACTAGCAACCCAGCAGGACAAATCAGTTTATAAGGAAAATATGCTCAGTTGAATCGGTTTTATAATCAAATAAATATGCACAGGTGTGCAGTCCCAACCCATTCTAAAAGAGTTTTGAAGCATATTGCATAGTCAATAGGTATATACATATCTCTTTCCTATGATGTAGAAATAAACTTAAAAGTTTTTACCACTGTATTAGATAGAATTCTGCTACATGGTGTGGCAATTGTAAATAAACTTACAGACAGGTTGACAGAAGATAATTAAACACAAAAAAGAAATTGCTTAGCCACTCTGTAACAAGAAAATTTCTTTTAATATTTGTATAGATTAAAAAACAGAGATAAAGCTGCAAAGTTATGCAACAGTTGTTGGCATATAATTGTGATCAGGAGCTACCCAGAGTTGGCCAAAAGATAGGAGGCTATATAAATATCTTAAATAAACAATAAATAAATATAACACTGAAGAGAGAAAGACCTTTAAAAATTAAAGAAAGTAGATGCAGATTAACATGGTTGGCAGAAAATATATCCAATTACCTTAATCTCAAAGTAATAATATGTAATTTGGCTTTTATTTGCTTTTTGTGTTTATTTATTTAGGGTATGGCATAGAGTTCATGGATAACAGTAAAATATATAAAAGGTACACATAATAATATGATACAGGTGTGATGGAAATATGTAGTCAATTTTGTAAATGAGGGATCCAAAAAGTTATATAACACGTTATAGGTTATATTTTGAAATACATTGGTACATGAGAATGGAATTAGTGTTCTATGTATTAATATCTATAGGCCTTTTATCCAATTACCAGTAAGTGCAGTATTTGTTAGCTGGAGAAAATCTGCTTTTCCTCCTGTGTAAGCTCTTAAATGGCAGTTAGTCACTATATGATCCAGTGTCTGGTGAGGAGCCCCACACTCACATTCAGGGGAGGATACTTTGCCCCATTTAAATAAAGAGTCTTGGCAGATGCCATGCAAGGTGCATAACCTATTCAGAGTTTTCCAGCACTGGCACTGAAACCCACTAATGCTTGTTTCGGATCAGATATATTTTTCCTGGAATCTTTTTGTGGTTTTCTTTTGCTTTTTTGTGTGATGCACTACATAATATTATTCTCCAAATTTGACAGTATTCGAGACTCCCAGATTACTTTCCTTTATCAAAAAAGAATGGATATGTTTCAATCAGTGCAGCAAACAAATCCAGGTATCCAAGAGACTTTGGTATTTTGTAAAATTGAAGGGAAAGTATTTCTATTTTATTCAAGCAGTTGTTTAGCAGAACTTGAAATTTGATTCAAATCTAATGACTTGTTCTGGCCTCTCATTTTAAGAGACCACAGACTACAGATTGTTCTTTAAATCTGATGATCAGATTTTATCTTATTTATTTAATGTGCAGTTTCAAGAAATGTTCCGCTGAGCTTATTGGTTACTTTTTGAAGACCTTAGTAAAGATATTATCTTACTGTTGATGGCTGTGGATTTTTTTCCTTTAATGGATTCAAAGTATTTTAAATATTTAGAAAAACATCCATGCTTATCAAGTGTTTTTCTATTAAGTATGCATTGTCATTAGCTCTGGTTGGTAACATAAATGGAGACTAGGGGAATCCATTATTGAAGAATTTTGCTAAAAAATAATATGGAGTGCAATGTTTTTCTAGGTCATCTAGCACAGGGATAAGACTGTACCATTGTGGTGCTAAGTGGCTTAGGTTGGCTAATCTTCAGAATTTCAGCTCATTGAGAAGTTCTACACTACAGTGCAAATAAATATCACCAAGTCCTAGAAAACATATAATACTTCACATCTTTTTCTTTCTTTTCTTTCATTTATACATAAAACTGGATTATAATGAAAGTCATTTCTGAGATCATATCTAAAATACACTTTTCTCTGTTTAAACATAACAAATATTAACAAGTATCTCAGATCTGTAAAGATTTTTAAACAAAACAACATGTTAGGCAAACCAGCACGGAAGCCATTTTTTATTTTGTTTTTATTTTACACACACACACACCAATCATGCTATTGGCTTTTGGGATAATTAGTATTATAGTAGCAGCTGAATAAGAGCTTCTTGGAAGCTCAAACACTCTCTGCCTTGCATTTTCTCTCTGTCACCTTTCATATCGTTTCATCAGAATTCTGCCTAGAGAGACTTAATTTCATCCCTTTACTTTCTGTATTCATTCTTGCTATTTTTCTCTTTGCAAAGGACAACTGTGACATCATTCTTTCAATTATCAGACACAAATACAATCTCCAGACGTGTATAACAGAAGTTCCAAAGCAAACAACATCCGTATTTTAATATTCCTCCAGGTTAACCATCTGCACCCTGAAACATATTATTCTAACAAGATTTATGACATTCTTTCCATCGTTCGTTTCTTGGATACTAACATTTATAGCATTTGTTTTAGTTGCACACTTGGACCTATCACTTACATATCATAAAAATACTCCTTCCACTTTTTCCTTAATTTTCTTCTAACTTCAGGGCTTGTAATTCCTCTTTGTGCAGTTCTATTTTCATTCAATTTTCTTTCACTTCTTTTACTTTTTTCCATGTCCATTTTCCCCAAGATCCATACTTGATCTAGCCATACTTTTATGTCCATGTTCTTTGCCTTCTTCCTTAATGTTTTCGATCCTTCAATATAAACAGAGCAATCAATCATATCTTTAAATTTTTATTCATTCCCTTGTCAATATGTATGTATAAGTACACTTATGCTTAAAGCAAATATTCAAAAGAAGCATATAAGATATTCCTTGACTTACAACTTTTCATTCCGCGACTGTTGACAGCCCTGTACAAAGGGATCTACAACCCCAGCCTGAAGTTATGGCCAGTGCAGCACCTTCAGTCATGTAAACAAAATTTGAGCACTTAACAACCTACCCGCGCTTGCAACCAACTGCAGAGGTGCTCTGTGCCCACATTACTTATCTTCCCAATCCATCCTAACCTGCTAGGTCCCACATCCTCCTCCTCCCTAGCATAACACAATCCAGTTATCTTTTCCATTGATCTCCTTTGGGAAGCAGCTGATCCACTATGCAGCCTTTCTCCATTGAGGCTGCATGATGTCCAAGAAGTGGAAAGAACGTCCAAGGCCTGCTGGGACCCAGTAGGGTGGGAAGTAGATAGGAGGTGGGGAAGGCCCTGGGTGGCCCAGGGAAGACCACATGTGAGCTGGTCAGGTGTTGCAGTGTGGGCCTCGGCCTGCAATGGGAAGAGCAGGAATTGTGGTTGTTAAGTGATCATGTGGGCACTTCACTTAATGACCACGACTTATAGCTGTAATGGGCAGGCACCATTTGAATTGGAAATTGAGGACTACCTGTTCATCTAAGTTACAGTCCAAAATAGGGAAAACACACGTCAACCTATAATCTAAATGCAGAACTGGGAATACCTGTATTTTTGTAAGTGGATACTCATTGCCATATTATTTCATCCACAGATCTCTGAATGATCGATAAATTTATTATGTCTCATTAAATCACGGTGACTCTTAGTAATGATATAGATTTTCTCCATGGCAATATGTCTCTAAACTGGTCTTTCAGGTCTTCCAATGGTAATCTTTAACCATTGTAACTCAGTCCATCCAACTTGCTGCTGTTCTCTTCTTCTGTTTCCTTCAACCTTTCCAGCATAGGACCCTTCTCTAGAGAGCTAGATCTTCTCACAATGGGTCCAAAGTAGGATAATCTGTTCTGGACATTAGTACTTCAAGTGAGAAGTCTGGGTTGACTTGTTTAATGCTACATTTGTCTGTTTTCTTGATTGTCCATGATCTTTTCAGCATTCTTCTCCAACACCAAGTTTCAATATTCTTCTTATCCTGTTTCTTCAACTCTAATTCTGTTTCCATAGAGGGATTTCTATGGTTCACACAATTCTAATCTTTGTACATATAGACACATCACAGCATGAATATATTTCCCAAGGCCATAACAGTTGCTCTACCAAGTACTAGTCTGTTGCATATTTGTTGACTGCTTTTCCTATAAAGTTGATGGTTGGTATTAAAAGGCATAAATTATCCATCTCTTTTGATATATTTATCAGGACTAAGGTTGGTTATTCTACCTGTTGTCATTAATTCAGTCTTGTTTATATTTTAGTCTCATGTTCTCACTGTGCTCCTTAACTTTTACTACTGGAATTTTCTGGTCCTTTTATTTTTGGCCATCAGGTTTATGTCATCAGCATAGTACAAGTTACTGATGTTTATTTCTCTGACTACAAAATCATGCTCATCTTCTTCTAATCCAGCTTCCCTTAATATATATTCTGAACATAGGTTGAATAAGGAAGGGAAGATGCAGCCTTGTCTCACTCTTGAAGCCAATCTGTTTCACCATGCTCTGTCTAGATTCTGGCTTCCTGATCGGTATATAAATTTCTCATGAGAACAACGATATATTTTTAGAATTTTCATTTTTCTGAGATTATTCCGTATCTTGGAGTGATTGATCATTCTCTTCCTTAGCTTAATTGGAACGTGCACATGAGGGGTTTGGGACCTGTTCCACAGTCAGCATCTGCTCATGACTTTGATGCTTCTTTTGATGCCTCCTTCTATCTCCTTTTAGCAATAAGATAGTTGATTTGCGTTTATAGAGTTTGTATACTTGTATACTGTACACTTTGTATAGAGTGTCTTTTTTCAAAGCGTATGTTGGCTATGAAGAAACTAGAAGAATTAAATAGGTAGGTCAGTCTCTTCCTTATTTCAATTTCCTAAGCCGTACAGTCCAACTCTTTACATTTTTCTCTTTAATGTTTCTACCTTTGGCTTTCTAGTCTCCATTCACAAGCAGCACTTCTTGCTTGCAGGTTTAACTTCAAACTGAACTTGGTCATAAAACTCATCAACCTTACCTTCTTGCATATTGGTGGTTGGAATATAGGCTTCAATGATTGTCATATTAAAGTGTTGGTCAGAAAACTTAATTGATATTATTCAGTCATTTATTGCTTTGTGGCCAATAACTATTCTTGCTACCTCCAACAAGATTCTTTCTTTGTCATCTTCTGAGTAATAAACAGTGTGATTTTCTGACTAAAAGTGTCCAATCTCAGTCCATCTTAGTTTAGTGATGTCTGAGATAGTTGTTTCATTTCATGTTTTACTGTATTGACCTTTCTCACATTCATGCTTCTTACATTATATGCTTCTTACTGTAAATCAATATTTTGCGGCGTCTAATTTTCTTTTCTTGTGTGACAATATCAGCAATTACCATATTTTTTGGACTATAGGACACACCCGATTATAAGAGGCACATAGGTTTTAGAAGAGGAAAGAAAAAAAATATTCTGAACCAAATGGTGTAGTAATATATTTAATAAAATATAGCAGAATAATATTTCAACCATGAAAAGTTAACAGCGGTATTAAGAACCATCATCACTGTCATTAACAAATGAGGAGAGACTTCTCATTTAGAAGAGCACTCTTCTAATTTTCTGGAACCCTCAAGAATTCATCATCACTAGTGTCAGAATATAGGAAGCTCAGTTGCTCACAATCACTGATATCACTTTCTTCGCTACCTTCATATATGATATCATCTTCAGTTCCATCCAGGGGTGAAATTCAGTAGGTTCTGGAGAACCGGTAGCGGAAATTTTGAGCAGTTCGGAGAACCGGTAGCAGAAATTTTGAGTAGTTCGGAGAACTGGCAAATACCATCTCTGGCTGACCCCAAAGTGGGGTGGGAATGGAGATTTTGCAATATCCTTCCTCCAGGAGTGGGGAGGGAATGGGGATTTTGCAGTATCCTTCCCCTGGAGTGGTGTGGGAATGGAGATTTTGCAGTACCCTTCCCCTGCCACACTCACCAAGCCACACCATGCCCACCAAGCCACGCCCACAGAACCGGTAGTAAAAAAAATTTGGATTTCACCACTGGTTCCATCTAAGGCATTGCTAATGCCACATTTTTTGAATGACCGTGCAACGATTTTGTCCTTCACTGAGTACCATGATGTTTTCACCCATTCACAAACTTGAGTGAAAGTGGGCCTCCACAATTGTCCAGTAGGTGTCAGATCATGATTACCAGCAGCCATCCATTTGTTCCACTCTTCTTGCATATAGACTTTAAATGGTTTGTTGATAGAAACGTCAATGAATGACTAAAACTTTATTATGGTTATCGACCATCAATAGATATACAATAAATTAAAAATAAACAATAAATTAAAAATAATACTGACATTGATAATGAATAACAACATCCCTGTTATGAAAATACTTAATCTCAAACCGTCAGGGTCACTCCCTAATTTACCTGAGTGGAGAGCCGATAAATATGTGAGTAAATGTATTTTTCTAATAATTGTTATTAGATATCTCCAAAAAATTGGCACCAGTTGACATCTATAATTCTGTACCCAGTTTTTTTTTTCTTGTGGACATTGCAGTGACAGAATTTTGCCACTGCCCACATGGTAGCTGGATTTGAGTCTTGGAGGAGAAAGCCTACATAAAAGTCATCTGTCCTTTTATGATGGAAATGTTAAGAGGTTGCAACTGGCTGGTAAGACCCGCAGGAATTATAGCTAGATGACTCTTCACTTCTTTAAATCTTTTCTTTGTGGTTTCGCTAATATGTGCTCTAAACTGGTCAAGCACTAATAAAGCAGGTTTTTTCAGAAACCCTCCAGGACGTTTGGACCACACTTTTTCAACCCATACTCTCATTCCATTTTCGTCTATCCATCCTTTCTCATGGATATGCACAACAACACCTTTTGGAATCACTTCTTTTGGGAAAGTTTTCCTTTTGAACAGTGGTGAAATCCAAATTTTTTTACTACCGGTTCTGTGGGCGTGGCTTGGTGGGCGTGGCAGGGGAAGGATACTGCAAAATCCCCATTCCCTCCCCACTCTGGGGCCAGCCAGAGGTGGTATTTGCTGGTTCTCCGAACTATACAAAATTTGCGCTACCAGTTCTCTGAACTGCTCAAAATTTCTGCTACCGGTTCTCCAGAACCTGCTGGATTTCACCCCTGCTTTTGAATATTAACATTGGTGGCAATTTGGTGCCGTCTGCACAGCAGAACAACACAACCATGTAAGGTGTTTTCACGGTTATGCTTTAGGCACCTTTCAGATCAACAGTCTTATTAGATGGCATATCAAAGGTTAGCGAGTATTTCATCCATATTCCCAATCTGGCCAATTTTAAAATTATTTTTCTTCCTAGCGTCTATTACAAATGTATGAAAAGGCAGCATCTTAGATTCATACTCTTTTGGCATTTTTTGAGCAATTCTAGTTTTGTGCACATAGCAAGACCATATCGCCTCATAAATCTGAAGCACCATGATGGTGCTCCAGTAAAATCCTGAATGCCTTTCTGTACAGCAATGTGTTTGGCTTCATATATTACCATTTTTGTGGAAACTGCAAAGCCATTATTCTGGTGATATGTGATCCATTCTTTCATGTCCGCCTCTAACTGTGGCCACTTTGCAGCAAGCTCACAAAAGTTGTGCTTACTTTTATCTTTTACTTTTTGCAGCTGATCCATCTGTTTCCTCCACTCTCTTATCATTTTTTCAGCTGGAGGTGGTCCAAAATGTTTCTCCACTGCTCTGTTTCCATGTTCCTCAGCATATTTCACTACTTCCAGTTTAAAATAAATTTTATATGCTTGTCTTTTCTGCTTTGACATCCTTGTACTGGTATATAGTGCCAGGAGGTGTTGTGGCTCCGTTCCTGAGCCTGGGCTATCGACAGATGCAGACTCTGAGAGTGAGGGGGAGGAGTTGGCAAGGCCTCCCTCTCCAGGACCCTCCTCTCTGGCAATGCCTCCGGAGGACACCGAAGGCCAAACGATAGGCTCAGAGCCAAGCACGTCCCCGCAGCCACAGGTGGACAGTGATGAAAAAGATAAGTGCTGGCTGGACCCGCGACAGAGGCGCAGGGAGAAGCGTGCACAGCAGAAGGGAAGGCGTGCCAGAGATTAGCTGAGTCACTGGACCACACCCCACAGGGTATAAATGTGGGTGTGGTGGCCAGTTCAGTTTGTGATGAGCAAAAACTGGAAATACTCCATGATCTCTGTGTTACTGGACTTTGCCTGCTTTATCGGACTGCATTTGGATTAATCCTTGTATTGTTGACACTCTGCCTGTTTTATCGGAATGCTGGCAGTCTAATCTTTGTTTTGTGTGAGTAAAGTCTGAATTGGCAGCTAGCCACTGGGTTGCTGCCAGCTTTATCATCAAAGAGTTTTGTCGTGTGGCTTATTAACTCCGGGCCGTCTGTGGGGGAGCGTGTGGGGTACGGGGACAGAACAGGAGGTACCGTAGTATTTTTCTGCAAGAAAGAACAGTAATGTGTCCTTTATAACAATACAGAGTATTGTAACTGAAACCATGTTCATACATTCATACACAAGATACCAGTATACCGTATACACTACATGCCACACTAGTTCATTACACCCGTGCCCTAAACTAACAATATCAAGCTGAGAATTTTAGGACATTGGTGATTCTTTTCCTCCTGGAAAAAAAGAATCTAGCTATGTTATCTTTATAAAGACAAACAGGTAGGCTCTAGCATGCCTGCCCATGCTAATAAAACACAGTCTGACACTCCCAAATTGCATCAATGGCTGTGGTGGGGAAGGAAGTCATGCCATGCCCAGCGATGGGGGAAAAATGGATGGCACGGAGCCCCATCTTGCCATGCATGCCCCAGTGAAAGGCGGGGGCAACCCGGCAACCCAACCACTTCCCTTGCCCGCCCTCTCCGGCGCTGGAAGCCATGCCATACCTCTCTTAGTGTCTCTGGGTTCACAGTCCACGTAGTCCAGGTGGTGTAGCAATCCAGGCGGTGTGGCAATCCAGGCAGTGCAGCAGGCGACAGTGGTGCAGCAGGTGGCAGTGGTGTGGCAGGCAGCAGTGAGGTGATGGGGAGGCAGACCCAGCGGGGCAGTAGGCAGTGCGGCAGGCAGTGGTGGGGAGGCAAGCCAGGTAGTGGGGCAGCAGGCCAGGCAGGGCCTCCTGCACCACCCTGGAAGCCAAAACGTTTCATAGGGACCACGCAATGCCTCCTGCACCCCGTTTTGGGCCTGGAAGGCCTCCTGCACCACCGTGGAACCCAAAACAGGGCATGGAGGGGGCACGCGACACCCCCCATGCCCCGTTTTGAGCCTGGAACGCCTCCTGCAATAACCTGGAATCCAAAATGGGGCATGTGGGGGGATTCCTGGGAGGGGCGGGGTGGGGCAAAGCCATCCCAAGGTGGGGTTAGCCGGTTCTCCGAACCAGTAAAAAACTTAACAACCGGTTCGCCTGAACTGGTGTGAACTGGCTGCAGCCCACCTCTGGGCGGAGGCAGGGGTGGGGCCAGCACATGATGCATTCGACCCGCAGGCCATGAGTTTGACACCCCTGTTCTAATCCAATCCTATACCATTTCAGACAAATGGTTATCCAATCTCTTCTTAAAAACCTCCAATATTAGAGTACTCGCAAATTCTGTAGGCAAGTCATTCCACTTGTTAATTGTTCTCACTGTCAGGAAAGTTCTCATTAGTTCTAGGTTGGTTCTTTCCTTGATTAGTTCCCATCCATTGCTTCTTGTCCTGCCTTCAGGTACTTTGGAGAATAGGTTGATCCCCCTCTTCTTTATGGCAGCCCCTCAAATATTAGAACACTGCTATAATGTTAGCTCTAGTCCTTCTTTTCACTAGAGTAGACATACCCAGTTCCTGCAACCATTCTTCATATGTTTTAAATAATTAAACTATATATTAAATAATTAAACTAAAATTTTCTATTCTTAAATGTTAATCTTTTGGTCCCTCCTGTGGCTAATGTTGAAATAGAGCTTAAATACAAGTAAGGTTGCTCTCTAGATGTAGTTTGTAATCCACAGATATATAAAAAATGCAGATGAATAAAATGATGAAGAGAAAAATAAGCTGAAAAGAAAAAATTGTATCACAACTGAAGGTAAAAAGAATGAAGTATCAGCTTGTAGTTACTGTAAAAGGTTATTTAAAAAGTAATAGTTTGTAATAACACTCAAGAGGTTCTTTCCTTTAAAAATATTGTAATATTTATACTTTGCAATCCGCAGAAGAAAGTAGTGTGTTAATGTAGACAAATAGAATCTGAGGTGTCTTATTGCAGTTTAGAACACAGTTTTACAATCCTGGTAAATCAGTTTACAATCCTTATAAATTACAATCTTGCTTTGTGGTTACTCTAAACAAGGCAGTTGTCAGGGCATGGATGGCCTGGCTGCAGGGGCCCTGAGGTAAGCCGATGCAGGCTGCATGGGGCAGCTCCATGCCCTCACCTTGTGGCCGTGGCACTGGTGCATCACTTGACCTCCTGCTCCAATGCTGGAACAAAAAGGGGGCCAGCCACCATGGATGCTGCCATGAGGCAGTTGTTGGGGCATGGATGGCCTGGCTGTGGGGGCCCCGAAGTAAGCTGGTGTGCACTTGGGGCAGATCCACGTCCCCCTCACCTCACCTCACCAAGTATTGGAGGCACCACAAGCAACCAGATAGAATGGCCGGCTGGCTGCACAGATGCTTAAGTAGGGCTTATTTTGGGGGTAGGGCTTATATTGGGCATGAACAGAAAACACGCTAGGTCTTATTTTTTGGATAGGTCTTATTTTCAGGGAAACATGGTAATAACGTGAGGTGCTTTACCTTAGAATATGTATGCATGACATCATATGTTACTTATACATTTGTCTCTCCTGCTTTTCTAAGATGTATAAGTAGGAGAGCAATTGTTGTTGGGTATGGGCCTTCCCTCAATATTCTTTGGAGAGAATCTCACTAACATGTGCTGTTTAATAAACACTGCAGTAAGCCTTGATTATTTGCCTTGGGTCCTATATTTGATTCCACACTTATAAACAAGATAGAGAATGTGTCTTATAGATTACCAGCCTCAGTCACTCCATTGCTATATACAACATTCCCTGGTAATAGTGAAAACACTAGCAGTCAATTTTGGCAGATTTGGGATAGCGTGTCACAAGTGTAACCAAATCACAGTTTTACTTCAAGAATGCTTCTGTTATTGTAATGTAAGATAGGATATCTAATTTACAGACCTGTAAGTGCACAACCCACAAACTAGGAGTAGAATGCCATGCATAGATGACACAGGCAAGATGTAGGCATTTTTTGCACCTATGCTGTCATATAACTTTGGTCAGTTTAGGTGGTAATTAATTATCCCTTTTCCTTCACAATGGCCTTCTCCAGTTCAAGAAACATAGACAAAACTGTGTCTAGGCAATGAATAATTATCTTCTAATCTTCATAACTGTTACTTGTTTTACTGCAAGACACTTTTGGCACTAAGCATATTATGTCTTGTTCATACAATGACAACCATGAATTAACTATGGTTTGTTGAACAGTAATTTTGGGGATCATACATTATTCTCATCCATAAATTTACAAACCAACCAGAGTTCATACAACATGCTCAAGCAAGACAGACCAACTCAAATACATGACCTCAGCTTACATAGGACACCTTTTGTATGTGATGGGTACTATGAGTAAATGCTGTATATAGGCAGCCAACAGAAGAGAATATATGTAGCTCAAGGCTGTGCTGTTATAGTTCAATAGTTATATACCCTGTTTATAACTAGGGTAATAAAATCTAAGAACCTAAAAAAGGTGTACTGATGATGTTACCTAGTCAGGTTATGAAATGTCTGCAAGCGAATACCAAGCTCAGAGAGCACCAAGGACTCCACAAATAGCCAGGCCTAACATCTAAAAATGAAAGTGCTGGAATGGGAGGCTGAGATGGGGGTTTCCAATCAAAATGGATGAGAGACCTTGCCTGGATGAGAGCCATATGATTGTCATGATCAGGAGACTCTGGTGGTGGTCAGGAAAGCTGTTGTCCTCAACGGCTCCTTTCTCACGAGTTACAGGATTCTAAACCAGGACAAATTGACCTCCAGGCTTGTGAGAAAGTGTATTCTGAAAATCAGAGAAGACCGTATCAATCAGCTGACTAAACTTCTGAGAAAAGTTTCCACATCGGCTGTCGCAACTCCGTCCTGCTTTCATTTTACAGAACTGCCCCCACTCCCTCCGCTTTGACCAGCTTAGCTTTTATTGCCGATCCCTTAGAAAACTTGTGAGGGGAACTGCCCCTCCTTCTCCGCCTCCCAGGCGTTTGCCGGCCACGGGGAGGGCTGGCTGGCCCACCGGCCCAGGCGGAGAGTGCTGTTAGCCGAGCTGACCGCCCCGCGGGACACTTTTCTTCAGAACAATTTGCAACCCCGTCACATCCGCTGGGAAGTTGCTCGGCGAGTGTCTGGAAAAGAAGACGGCACGCCCCGCAGCGGTAACCAAAGTCCTGAGACGCTTTGAGCTCCGGGAAGAAACTTTCTTTCTCGGGGCCGTCAAGGGCGTTCTTCGCAGGATGGACTTGCGGGAAGGAGCACCATGAAGCTAGGCTGCCCAGGCGCCTCCCTCGCCTCTCACCGTCTCGGCCGCTTGGAGAAGCAGCGCAGGGGCAGGCAGCGGCTCCCTCCTCTCTAACTGCCTCGGGTTGCGGCGACCGGGGGGGATGTCGCGGACGGCTGCGTGTGTCGTGCTGCTGCTCCTGCTAGCAGTGGCGGAGCGCGGCCGGGCTCGCTTCGCCTTCCGCCTCCAAGTGTCTTCTCCGGTGATCCCCGAGAGCACCCTGGTTCCCACGCCCGTATTGCTAAAGTCCCGAAGCAGTGGCGGAACCGACAGCGAGCCGGCGCTCTCAAAAACCTCGGGCTTGGCCTTAGCATCGGATCCCGGCGGCTCCCTCAACTTTCTGGCCATGGTGGACAATCTACAGGGAGACTCGGGACGCGGCTACTATTTCGAGCTGCTCCTCGGCACCCCGCCGCAGAAGGTAGGGGCGCCGCCGGAGCGGGGCTGGTGGACCAATGAGGGAGGTTTCCCCTGAAGTTGACCCGTTTGTGCGTTCGCCCTCGGGACGGCGTCTCCTTTCAGCTACCGCATCACGGAGCGGGTCTCTCCCTTTCCCTATCCTGGGCGATTCAAGGTCCTGGGCGGGCGCGCGCGCGCGGGGGTGGGGGGTGTTGTACAGCGCTTAAGGCAATCTTCGTCAGCCAGGTGCTCTCCTGGCGTACTGTGGCTTTAAGCAGCTTTGGCTCTGGAGTCCCGGTGGGGAAGACTGGGTTAAAGCGTCCGAAGGCTGTTGTGAGAAATAGATGGGGCTTTCTGAAGTACTTAGAAGTACCTAAGATCCGACTGAAGCTGCTACTTCGAGGCTATCTCCGATGCTTCCGGGAAGCTCACAGATTTCCAAGGCGGCAGTTGTTTCTGCTGTTCCTTTTTCTCTCTCTCCCCCCCCCCCCCCCCACAGGAACCGAGGTTTAAAAAATATCCTTTCAGCATCTTCATGTTTTAAAGCTCCATTATGTATCCTTGAATGCCTTTGTTCAATCTGATGCAATTGTCATTCAACTTCAGTATCATTTGGGGTTTTAAAACAGGCATTTTTAAAACATCAGTTGCTAACATTTAATTATCTCTCTATAAATAGGTATCCAAACCATTTTTTCCTCCCCCCCCCCTTTTTTTTTTTTTTTGAAGTCTGAGGTTTTGCAGAGAGATGGCCAGAACTTTATACTATATCTCTTAATTGTATTTGGTGGGATGAGGCTGTAATTAAAACCATTTCTTCTTTTGGGGAGCTGTGTCTCACTTCCAAGTGATAGCAGAAGTCCTAGTAGAAGTCTATTTGAATGAAACCTTATTGTACTATATACTTTTTAATATACTGTTACTGCAGTTGAAAAACAGATGGGAGCAGTTTCTGGCTGGGGAAGGTTTTGGTCCCCAGAAAAGTAAAATATTACTTTCCTTGCTACAACAAAACTGCTTTCCCTCTCCCCTTCCAGTGACGAATGTGCTTATACACGGCTCTTTATGTTTTCTGAATTTGAAAGAGCTCTATAATACTTCAGAATAATCTGAATTCTGGTATTCGTTGTGTTTATGTTTGCATGACCTTTTGAATCACAACCCCTGACCTTGCTATAGCATTTACTACTTCTGAAATAAAAAAACAAAGAATCTTTCTATAACTATGTAGCAAAATCCTGGTGTAGATGCTGATTCTATGTGGCTTGCTGGTTGTGTAACTGTAAGCATTCTATTGCCATTGTAAGTTTTACAGTTGGCGCATAAGCACAAAAGTGCCTAAAATGTGAGGTAAGCTTTTCCTGTTGATAGGACAGTTCATGTTTGTCCCTGACACTCCTTTTTCCCCACCCTGTGCCGGGCTGGATTCTGGCCAGGTTGCACATCCTGCTAAGCCAGACCAAAAAAAAAAAAAAAAGACAAAAAGAAACCAAACCATATTATGGATGAGAACACTGCATGGCCTAAGTTTCTATGTGTGTGAGTATGTGATGTATGATTTCACATCAACCCACTAACTGGAATTTGAATTCTATCTCATAAGCATAGAACCCTCACAATCTGACCTTTGTGCTTACTGACTTCTGCAAGCCAGTGGGCTAAAATGTTTCCACTTTATTGTGTTTGTGAGAATTTTTTTTTTTAATTTGATTTATATGCCGCCCTTCTCCGAAGACTCAGGGTGGCTTACAATGTGCTCAGCAATAGCCTTCATCCTTTTGTATATTTATACAAAGTCAGCTTATTGTCCCCACAACTGGGTCCTCAATTTACCTACCTTAGAAAGGATGGAAGGCTGAGTCAACCTTGAGCCTTGGCGAGATTCGAACCCTGCAGTAATTGCAGGCAGCTGGTCTTAATAATAACCAGCTTAATAACAGGGTGCCTTAAACCCCTGTACTACCAAGGCTCTATTGAGAATATTGAGAAAATAATATCATAATTTTTTAAGGCAAGGTTCGTTTTAGCAGCATAATGGGATGTTGGCAAGGTGGGTAGCCCTACTTTGTTTATATCCTTTCAGCCCATATAAATTCAGATGAATGCCTGAATTACATTATGAAGCACCCTTTCCAGCATTACCATTTCCTAGATAATTCCACCTCTTCTCCTTTCCAGAAGTTCTAGGATCATAGTAATGATTGTTATCATGCTGATAATATTAAAAAATAGTGAGAGTTATAGTTGATAAGTGTTGGTTTGTAACTAGGAAAGACTGATCTTTGTGATAAACAAAGTGAGTGAGAAATTATCCCAATTCAGATATTTATCATTTGCTACTAGTTTCCAAATGGTAACTAGTTTGCAAATAGGATAGACTGAGGAGAAAACAAAACAGAGATTGCTGCAAATCAACTGAGTGACTCCATGAAAATTATATCTTTCATCTTTCCTTTGCAATTCTTTAGAGCCACTGAATTAAAAGAACTTTCCTAGAAGGAAAATAGCTTATTGAACATTACTACTGCTATTTTTACAGGGGTATGGGATAAATGTACAGGAAATAAGTCTTACTTGATTGTGAACTTTACTTTTAAACAGACCCACATAGAACTGCATTGCTAATAAAGTCTTCAATGTTGGATACAGCATATTAAAATATTCCTATTTTCACTCAAACTTTAAGAATATATTAGCAAATAGTTCTATGTGGGTTTGTTCAAAAGTAAGGGTTTGAACAAGCTCAGTAAGGGTTACTCCTTGGGTAAATATGTCCTACAGCTGCAGCGTATGAGTTTGTAATAGTAATGCTGAATAAGTTATTTCTATATATCACGCCCACACATACTTATAATATGTAAGATAAATATCTAAATATTTATTGTTTTTAAATAGACCAAAAAGATCAATAATCTGCTATTTTTTAACACAGGAATATGCAAACTCGGCTTTTAAAGTGATTATATCTTTAATACTGTATAAGTATTTTTTTCCTTAGATATTTTATCAGAAACTGGAATATTGCTAAACTGGAAAAAAAAGTCAGTAATTTATATATGTGTATCTGCATGTATTAAATACTTTGAAGTTTTAGAAAAGTAATTATTTTTCACTGTGTCATGAGATTGCATGTGAAGAATTAATGTCTCATTGGGGAGGATGACTAGTCAGATGATAAAGATAAACTTCTTAATCCTCAGAATGTTCACAGTTCTAAAGTGCATAATAATCAGCTGTGTTGGTTATAAGAAGTATTTTGAAGAGCTGAGTCTTATTTCCCGAAAGCCTTCAGGGCTTAAAACGTTTTTTCCCCCAAATATAATGGTTCTTTATAATATTTCAACTGATCATTATAGGACATTGCTGATATAAAGGGGATGGAAATGAAGAATGGAGAATCTTCTTTTATTTCAGTTTTGCTCTGTTCCATTAGCTCTTAATATCCTTTTGACTAAAGTGGTGCTTGTGCTCCTTCTCATATCATTTGGTACATTTGTCTTATCATATAGGGTTTTTCTGTTCTTTAGGGTTTTGAACATAGGCTATTGGAAAGGTTTTTCACTGAATTACAAGTGTCGAGTTATATCTGTTCTTCAACTTGTTAAATACTTTTTATAAAATTGAACCCACTGTTTGGGATTACTTCTATCAATGAACAAGTGAAAAAGTGTTGTTTTTTTAACAAAAATAATGTTATTTTCCATTCTTTTTTGGTTGAAGAGGCCAGCATGGATGGGGAAACGCTGGAGAAAATGCCTTTTGAGTGCTTTGGGGGATTTGGATTTTAAAGCCATAGTCTGAATATTTGAAAGGATTATTATTATTGCCAAGATATCATTGCAATATTTCTAACTACTTAGTGTAGGAGGAAGGGCATCTGTAGCCTTTTGGGTGTTCCAAACTATAACTCTCAGCAGCCCAATCAACTTGATTAATGCTGAGGAATGCTGGAGAGCCATAGTTCCTTCCCCCTGAGCTAAAAGTCATATGCCCTCTTTGTATTTGATTTCCTATATAGATCTGACTACAGTGTACAAGTAGTTCTTGATTTACAACCGTTCATTTAGTGACCATTCAAACTTACGACGACACTGGAAAAATGACTTATGACCATTTTTCACATTTATGACCATTGCAACATCCCCATGGTTATCAAAATTCAGAAAGTTCTCATATTTATGAGAGTTGCAGTGTTTTGCGGATATGTGATCCGTTTTTGTGACTTTCTGACAAGGTCACAAAATGAGGAAGCCAGATTTACTTCACTA